GAGAATATTAAACATTCTGGTTTGGGTGCAAAAATTTGAGACCCGTATGTGACATCTAAATAGAGTTATGCCTGGGAGAGAAGCTCAGTGGGGAAACTTGTGCTCAGCATGTACACAGTGCTGGGCTTTGTCCTCAGCACCACAGAAATTAATCAGTACAGTATAGTTTTATCATATGATAATACTATACAGGTGTATACAAGACATAATACAGGTGTCAAAGAGCAAAGTGGCACTTAATTCATAACAGAAGCCAAAAGTATACGATTGTGTATTGTCAGGTATGAAAAATGGATTTCGGAACTGTGGGGTGCGTGAGCTCGGGTTAGGGGAAGGTGTGGTATGAGGAGAGAAATCTTTGGCTGAGCTTTGGAACCCTGACTTTTTGAGACTGGATGGAGAACAAAAAGAAGTGAGCGAAGGAAACTGAGAAGGAGACTGCCGGGAAGATGAGAGGACACAGGAGACGAGGTGTCCCAGGGGACAGGGAGCTAGCCTTTCAGGAATGAGCAGTCAACCGAGTGCTCTGAATGGGTGCTGGTTACACAGTCTCCACCACACACTTGCACGTGGTGAGCAGCAAACAGGTTCCCCCCTCTCATTTTATTAGTTCTTTGAGAATTTTATGATGTATTTTTATCATATTCACTGTTACCTCAACACCTCCTGATCCACCCCCACTTTCCTACCCTCACAACCTTTTGTTCTCTCTTGGGCTTTTGAAACTTGTCAGGTGCAGAAAATTGCCCATGCTCTCTTGGGTGTGTGGCTTTCCACAGGAGTGTAGACAGTTTTCTTTAAGATTGAGGCTCTTTTTCTAGTCTTGCCAGGTTACCTCTGTAAATACCTGACCATTAGGGGCAATTGTATTGGTGATTTTTCTTTCTTTCTTTGTTTGTTTGTTTTTGCTTTGTTTTGTTTTAGGCAAACACTCAACTGACTGAGCTTTACTGCAGCCCCAGAAACTGTCATTTCTAATGAACATACCATGCCCAACTAGAATTTTTTGTCTAGTTTTAAATTTTATTTTATGTGTGTGGGTACTTTGCCTGCGTATGTGTCTGTGTACTGTGACCGTTCCTGGTGCCGGCAAAGACCAGAAGAGGTCAGCTCTTTTTGAACTGTAGTTATAGAAAATTGTGAGCCAACATGTCGGTGCTGGGAATTGAACCCAAACCCTCTGGAAAAACAAGTGCTCATAACCACTGAGCCATTTCTCCAGCCTCCAGTATTTTGTTTTTGGATAAAATACTTAAGAAATGATTCATACATAGTATAATGATGTTTCGAAAGGACCCAAATGTAAGTCTAAGCAATAATTTTGTGGGATATGATTAGACATGGGTGAGGTATATCCCTGCGTTTGAAGATGTTTTAAGGTAAAAATTGGCAGTAGGCAAAAATTTAACACAGCAAACTTACAGGTGAAACATTGTTTGATGATACTAAATCTTTTTTGTTTATATGTATGTGTGCATGTGTGTGCTCGTGTGGGTGTGCATGCGTGTGAATGTGTGTGTGTAGGCTAGAGATGAACCTTAGGTGTCTTCCTCAGTCACACTCTACCTTATATTCTGAGATAATATACTCTCACTGACCCTGGACATCACTGATTCAGTGAGGCTGATTGGCCAATGGATTCCAGGGATCCTGCCGTTATCTTTCTAGCACTGGGCTTAAAGGTGTTCACTACTGTACCTAGGTTTCACATGACGCTGGAGATCAAATTTAGGTCCTCCTGGTTTTGGAGTGGATGGGACAGCCTGGTGGGCTGGAGACTGTGATGAAGCAAGAGCTGCAGGACTCTTTCAGCAAGCGAGGTGGAGAGGACAGGGCAGTCAGAGGCTATCTGGACATATGACTCAGAGGCTGTGTGTGCTGTCTGACATGACTGGCTGGGTCATGCAGAAGTGGGAGTAGGCTACTGAGGAGGTGTATGGAACAGGGCCAAGAAACCAGTGGGGTGCTTGTGAGGCAGTCCTGTGACGCTGTTGTCATCAGAACTGAAGGCTTGAAGTGGGGAGGTAAAGACTGAGCAGGATGCCACCATCTTTGCAAGGAGACAATAGGGCGAGATAGTGCCTAGTGGAGGGCACCTCAGAGACAGAGGGTTTCTGCGGGAGAGAGGCATAGTGCTGGTGGGAGTAAAGATGGTCGCCCTACCTTCTACCTGGAGAGATGTGGGGAGTGTGAGAAGGAACAGACTCCACTTAGCCATCTGATGCTGTGGTTGAGTGGGGCAGTATCGTTAGTGTCCAGGTATCAGGATGAAGATAGAGTACCATGGAGATGGCTCGGTCAGGACAGTGCTTGATGATCAAGTGTGAGGATCTGAGTTTGAGCCTTTATTAAAACCCACATGAAAAAGCAAGGTGCAGTGACATGTGCCTGTAAGCCTAGTGCGTAGGGAGCAGAGGCAGGAAGATTCCTGTCAGAATCAGGAAACTCCAGGTTCAGAGAGATCCTGCCTTATAAATAAGGTGAAGGGGGCCAGAGAGATGTCTTAGTGGTTAAGAGGGTTTTACTGCTGTTGTAGAGGACTTGAGTCCAGTTCAGAGCACCTAGGAGGTGTCTTACGACTGACTCTAACTTCATCTCCAGAGGATCCAATGGCCATGTCTTTCTCCATGAGCACTGCACTCTACACACACACACACTCTCCTACGTTAACACAATTAAAGGTAAAAATAAAATGTTACGAGGCATGGTGGTATATGCTTTTAGCTGGGGCACTTGGGAGGCAGAGGCACTGTGAGCTTGAGGCCAGCCAGCTACACAGTGAAACCTTGCCTCACCCACCCCGCCCAAATAATAAGCAAGTAAAACTTCTTTGCTTCATGTGCATCTGTGTACATGCATGCACACACATACACTCATAAACCCCAAATCACATACCCCCAAAATAATAAGATGGGATACAATAGGGGAAGATGCTGATTATCAACTTCTGACCTCTCTTTCTACACATGCTAGTGCACACACACATCCTTGTACACACACGCGTGCGCGTGCACGCGTGCACACACACACACACGCACTGGCTTGATGTGTGTATAACTGTTTCTCAAGTTCGTGAAGTTTCATAGAACATATTGGAACCTTGAGTAGATATAAGTGGAGGTTTGAAAAGTATAAAAGGAAGCCATGGCCTTTGTGAGGGGCAGAGTAAATGGCTAAGAGAAGGGTGCTGGACACAGACTTGTGTCTTGTGGAGGAGAATAAACTTAGGGCATTGGTCCTAAAGGATGCAACTTGGTCATTTTTTTAAAGATTTATTTTATTTTTAATTATGTTTATGTATGTGTGTCTGTATGTGGATTCGTGCACATGAGTGCAGTGCCTTTTGAGGCCAATGAGGAAGTAGAACCCTGTGCTGTCTGTTTTTCTGTCAACTTGACACAGGTAGAATTACCAGAGAGGAGGGAACCCAGGCAAGCCTGCCTGTAGGGCATTTTCTCAATTAGTGATTGATGGGGGGGGGGGGACTCATTGTCAGTGGTGCCACCCCTGAGCTTGTGGTCTTGGGTTCTATAAGAAAGCAGGCTGAGCAAGCCATAATAAGCAAGACAGTAAGCAGCACACCCTCCATGTTTCTGCATTAGCTCCTGCCTCCAGGTTCCAACCTGTTTGAGTTCTTCTAATGACTTCCTTTCATGATAAGCTGTGATATGGAAGCGTAAACTAGATAAGTCCTTTCTTTCCCATGTTGTTTTGGTCATGGTGTTTCAACACAGCAATAGTAACCGTGACTAAGACAATCCCTTAGGGCTGGAGTTACATGCAGTTGTGAGATGCTGTAGGTGGATGCTGGGAACTGAACTGGGGTCCTCTGTAAGGGTAGTATGTGCTCTGATCTTAATCACTGAGATATCTTTTTTTTTAATTTATATTTTTAAGAATTTTTTATGATTTAACTTTATTTTATGTGCGTTGGTGTAAAGGTGTAAGATCCCATGGAACTGATTTACAGACAGTTGTGAGCTGCCATGTGGGTGCTGGGAATTGAACCTGAGTCCTCTGGAAGAGCAGTCAGTTGCTCCTAACTGCTGGGCCATCTCTCTAGCCCTCATCATTGATGATATCTGTTCAGCCTTACAGACTTGTAATTTGATAACAGAAAGATAAATAGTTGAGATTTGGGTAAGAATTACAATTACAGATACTGTGCTCAGAAGAGGTGCTGATCTGTATTTAGGGAATGTTAGTGTGATGTCAGAGTTAGACCCAGGGTCTCTCACTGGTCTGGAATTTACCAAACAGCCTAGGCAGTTAGCTAGTGAGCCCTAGGGATTCGCCTATCTCTGTCTCCCCACTGCCACGGTTACGAGCACCCATCACTGTGCCCAGCATTTGTACATGGGTAGTGTGAGTGTGTTGATCTAACTCAGCTCTCCTGCTTTCAAGGAAGCAGTTTCCTAGCCCCAAGCTTTCTGTATCTTTGTGATAACAAGGATGGATTCCTGGGGCTTTGCAAAAGTTAAGAAAGTATTCTACAGAACACCGAGGTACACTTCCAGCCCTAAGGCAACCTTAATTTTTTTTTTAAGTTTTAATATTGTGTATGTGAGTGTCAGAGTGTGAGGTTGTGCACATGAGCAAATGCCTACGGAGGCCCGAAGGGAGTGTCAGATCTCCGGGAGGGGAAGTTGAGGCATTTGTGAGCTGTCCCATGTGGGTGCTGGGAAGGAAACACTGGGAAAACAGTCCATGCTCTGAACTGCTGGGCTACAGCAGCCTTTCTCTTTGGTGTCGGTACAGGACGAGCATCACTTGTGCCTGGTAGGGAGAGATTACAGTGTAAGGCTTGAATTCTAAGGCCAGCTCTGCCACCAAGTTAGGCTGTCTTCCCTGAGCTCTCACTCTGCTGCTTTAGTTCAGACTCGACTAGTTATTATGGCTGAGACACGATTCAGGGGCCACAGAGAAAGTTATATTGAATTTAGTTGGACTGAAGAAGGAAGAACTTTTTTTGTCTTACTTTAGTTTCTCTCCTGTCACAGGCCAGTGTCTCATCTGGGTCCAGTGTTCCTTTCCAAAGTGTGAGAAATGGAGACAGCTACGTGGAGACATTGATCCCTCAGTGCTCCCAGATAACTGGTCCTGTGACCAGAATCCAGGTACAAAGGAAGGGAAATGTCCCCCCCCCCCCGCCCAGTTTTTATTGCTTCTCCCTTTCTTCAGCATGTCTCCTTTCATTTAGGCACAACTTAGATGTAGCTGGCATTGAGGGGTCCTTGTGGGGACTGGGAGGGAGGATCTTCCTGTTCTGTGGGAGGAAGGTATAGGTAGCCTGGGAATCTTTATGTGTACACTGAGTGAATTCCACGTATGTCAGCCTTGCCTGATCGTACCAGTGCCTCCTGGAATGTTGGTGTTGGATTGTGGGTAGAGAGGGATATATGGCATGTGGAAGAAGGAAGTAAGAGAGACCCAATGATTTTAGTATTCATTCTAGAATACTATGATTTGGACAGATTATGTCCAAAATGGTTTGGACAGATAATGACCATCTTGTCCAGTGTACTTATTTTACAGACGAGAAAGCCTCTTAGAGAAACAACCCCACACTGCTCCGCAGAGGGGGCAGAGTCACTCTGGGATGTGAGCAGGAATCTGTTTTGGAAGGCAGCACTCTTGGCTCTAGCTGCATTTCCTCTATGGGGTTTCTATTCTCTCCTGCCTGCAGCCCGTACCACTTCCCGTTGCCCTCTCTATGGGCTCCATCCTAGTTACACCCTTTGGGCCTCTCATTTCTATAGTCTCCTCTCTTGGCAGACCTGAATTATAATCGCTGTGATATTCCCGAGGAGACCTGGACAGGGTGTGAGAGCGATGTGGCCTATGCCTCCTACATTCCAGGATCCATCATCTGGGCCAAGCAACATGGTTACCCCTGGTAGGGCACCATAACAGAGAACATCTTTCCTGAACTTGGGAGTGGTAGAGTCATGAGGGGAGGAAAGGATATGGCAGTCTTGTCATGGATGTGGTACCTCCATTAGAAAGAGCATCAGTGAGGGGGAAAGACAGGACTGGGCTGGAAGGCTTTGGAAGACTCTATGTTCCTGGGTGGAAGTGGGATCTCTGGAAAAATGGGTCTGATGATGCTGCCATGAGTGAAAAAAAGGGAGGACCTAAAGCAATTTCTTGTTTCTGTTCTGCTTTGTTTTTGAAACAATGCTGGCCTTGAGCTTGCCCAAGCTTCCTAGTGCTGGGATTGTGAGCCATCTGCCACCAAGCCCTGCTTCAAGATATTTAAAAAGTTGAGATGTGAGAGGCATGCGAAGTCAAGAGAAGGTTAGCCTGTTTCTGGTTCTGTCCACAGGCTTGTTAGGATGACTGAGCTCCCCTGTAGTCATTTGGTAGTGAGCACCAGCAGGGACTAACGGAGTGTAGCTTTTGGGTCTTGCTCTTTTCCACGTGTGCATGATGGTGAGGTGTGTTCTGACCGTAACCCTTCTCTCCATTCCGTTCCTCGTCCCCAGGTGGCCAGGCATGATAGAACCTGATCCTGACCTGGGGGAGTATTTTCTTTTTGCATCTCATCTTGATTCCCTGCCGGTGAGTTTCCTGGTTTTGGTCTGAGCAGCGGCATAGCCACCCTTACATGTTTAGAGTTAGATTTGTCTAGTAGACACATGGAAGCAGACACTTAAGAGTGACAGATATGGAGGAAGATCGACACATAGAGAAATGAACTTGTATTGAATCCATTTGCTGCCTAGGAGGGCATCTTTGTTTTGTCCAGTATGTGTTTCCTGGGATCCCTGAGGTCAGAGTAGAGGAACAGTGGAGTGAACAGGGTAGGTGAGCCAGCGCTCAGGGAGGATATGAGCTCCAGCATCTTCCCTGTGACTTCCCACCTCCATATTTCTCTACCATTCTGACAAGAAAAAAGCAGAGAGGAGGGCAGGAATTCAAGTCTTATCTTTTGTTACAGTCCAAGTATCATGTGACATATTTTGGAGAAACAGTTTCTCGTGCGTGGATTTCAGTCAGCATGCTGAAGAACTTCCAGGAACTGTCCCTGGAGCTATCCAAAGTGGTGAGCAAGCTTTGGGCATCTGGTGTGATAAAGGGAACAGGTTTTTTTTTTTTTTTTTTGAGTTTTTGCTGCTTTTTTAGAGAAGGTCTCATATCCCAGGCTGGCCTGGAATTCACTATGTAGTCAAGAATGACCTCGAACTTCTGATCCTCCTATTCCAGCCTCCTAAATCCTGGGATTATGGGTAAGCCTCACCATACCATGTTCTGAGTCAGTTTGGAAGTTGCAGCTGTTAGGCCCAGGTTAACCCAGAGTTTCACAGTCCCAGCACTGTGGGCATCTTGGTTCAGATAATCCTCTGCCTGCAGGTGTTAGCTTGTACCTATTCTTTTCTTTTCTTTAAAAAAAAAACATTTATTTCATGTACAATGTTCTGCATGCATGTATGCTTACAGGCCAGAATGGGGAACCAGCTCTCATTATGGATGGTTGTGAGCCACCATGTGGTTGCTGGGAATTGAACTCAGGACCTCTGGAAGGACAGTCAGTGCTCTCTCTTAACCTCTGAGCCATCTCTCCAGCCCGCTTGTACCTATTGTTAGCTGCACTTGTTTTGTTTGCAGGTGTTAGCTGCACCTGTTCTGCATGCAGGTATTAGCTGCACCTGTTCTGCATGCAGGTGTTAGCTGCATTTGTTCTGCTTGCAGGTGTTAGCTGCACCTGTTCTGCCTGAAGGTATTAGCAAGATCCCTGGACACTGCAGCATCCTCTACCCTATGTTTTTCCCTCTTCTAGTTGTGACAACCAAATAATTGTCTCCAAACCTTGTCTTTAGTTTTCCCTAACTGAGAAGCATGTATAATCCCTGTAGTCATTTTGGGTTTAATTAACTCAACGAGATGACCTTTGGAATTGTGGAGCTTGGAGAAGAGATGTTTGTTGTATGCCTCCTATTCAACTGGACTACGAGCATTCGTAAACTGTGGGTTCAGAGGAACTTGTGAGAAGCTGAAAAGCGAAGTCACCTGAATGTGGGTCTTCTTTTCCTTCAAATTCCTGTGTGATCCACTGTGGAGAGGGCACCAAAATGTCAGAGGTTTCCTGGGAAGGAGAGTATTGTTTCTGAGCCCCAAAAGATTAAGAACGGAGTGTCCTGTCAGTACCCAGAACTGACAACTAAGCACCCGTAGCTAAGATAATGTCTAAGGTGTGGTGATTCACATTTATAATTCAGCATGCAGGAAGCTGAGGCTAGGGAGTTGCTGTGAGTTTGAGGCCAATAGGCTATAGTGAGTGCCAGGCCAGACTGAGCTACAGTTTGTGATCCTGTTTCGAAAAAAAAAAAAAAAGAGAGAGATAATGTCTGGTGGGTAGTGATATGCTGCGGTCACTCTTCTAATATTATTATTGATTATTTTTTTAAAAATATTTATTTTTATTTTTAATTGTAGTATGTGCACATGCAGGCTTGTCCAAAGCTTCCGATCCCCTGAGGCTGGAGTTTAGATGGTTGTTAGTTGCCTGATGTGGATGCTGAGAACTTAACTTTGGTCCTCTGGAAGAGCAAAATTTAACTGCTGAGCCATCTCTCCAGCCTGAAGTTGAAGAATTTCAAGAATTACTAGTTATTTGAGAATTTCTAGGTTGACTATTTTTAAGATGTATATTTATTATGAATTCTAACCTTCTATTTTAGAAAAAATGCAGGAACAAGGACTACAGCCAGAAACTGGAGGCAGCCATAAAGATGGCTCACGAGGCAGAACAGATCAATATTCAGGTGGGTGATGCTCAGCCCACATGCTGGGTCCCATTGGACCCAAAGGGAGCCCACTCCGCCTGTTGCTGCACGACAGGGAACTGGTGGTCTCCCCATTGCAGCTCTTGTCTTAGAGCTCACCCTTTCCTTCCTGCCAGGTTTCCCTGATCCCTAGCCCAGCCATTCCTTTCCCCATCCTTGGACAGGGGTGTCTTCTCTCAGCCCAAACCGTTTTTCTCTCAAATTCCTCTGGAAGGAGCAGGGGTGGGGTAGAGAATAAAGTGAATTTCTCTTTCCTAGTTACTTCCTCCATCATGAATAAACTAGAAAAGAGGTTATAATTAATCTCCATTAAAAGTTCAGATAAAGTTAATGTAATATTTCAAGTGAAAGTGGATTGGAAAATGAATGCAGATTTTGTCATAACTGGAATCTAGAGGATAGGGCAAATGCTGGGCCTGGGAGGGTGGTGGGTGACACCGTTGTCTCTTGGCTTCCCAGGAGCGGGTTAACTTGTTTGGTTTCCTGAGTCGATACAATGGACCTGACAGCACTGGGGAAGGGAAAGGTAGGAGTGTAGGGGTGAGGGTGGAGAGCCCCCTTATCCCCAAAGGTCCAAGTGTAGGGGTGAGGGTGGAGAGCCCCCTTATCCCCAAAGGTCCAAGTGTAGGGGTGAGGGTGGAGAGCCCCTTATCCCCAAAGGTCCAAGTGTAGGGGTGAGGGTGGAGAGCCCCCTTATCCCCAAAGGTCCAAGCCTGCATTGTCCGCTCCATTCGAGATTCCCTAGTGGGAGGTCTTGTGACTGTATCCGGACGGATGGGTGAGACAGGGTGTGTAAGTAGTGATGGGTGGGACTGTGGTGACACGGGAACCATCCCGAGGATTCAGAGGCAGAGCTGGAAGATGGATTTTCTGAAATCACCTCCACCTCACCTAGTGCATCTTGGACACATAGTCTGTCCTTTCCCTCTTCTAGATTTGGCGCTCTGTGAGTCCAACAGCCCCGAGTCTTGTCTGGAGAAAGAGAAGGACTCAGAGGAGAAGAAGGAGGAGAAAGAAGAGAAGAAAGTAAAGCTTTAGATACTGGTTCAGAGGACATTCTTGTGACGTTTCTCCTGGGGTTTCTGAAGGGATTTGCGGTCCCTGTGAATCCAGCCTCGGGCACTGACCCTGGCCTCACCCTGAGGATCTCCATGAAGGGAAACTCCTTCCTCATTGTGGGACTCCTTGATCACAGTCTCAGTTTGTGCTGTGTTTCTTTGCTACTTCATGTAATTTCAGGAAACCTCTAGTTGCCTTTCCCACTCCTTTCTTCTGTGTGGAATGTCACCCATTTTTTTTTTAGCCTCACTTTGAAACACGCATTTTCACTTTCTCTTTTAGTTTACTTTTTTTTGTTTTTGGTCAAAAAATTTTTGTTGGGTGCATGAATGCATTCCCGAGAACAATTTGAGGGAGTTGGTTCTCTTTTTCTACCTCGTGAGCCCCTCCAGTTGAATTCAAGTTGTCAGGCCTGGAGCCACTGAGCCATCTCACAGTCTTTAGTTTCTCTCTCCCCGCCCCAGATTTATTTCCTTGTTCTTATGCATTCAGTCTTTGCATTGAGAATACGAAGGTGACCGCATAATTTCTCTGTCCTGCTATAGATTTAAATTGTACCAGGCTGCAATCAAACCTCATCTGGTTTTCTGAAGCCCACTATTATTATCTAGCCCTCCTCTACACAAAAGAGAATGTGTATGCAGGTGCATGTGCATGTAGGTGCACACACATGTATGTGCAAATGCGCGTGGAGGCCACTGTCAGTCTCAGGTGTCATCTTCAGATGCCATCCACCTTGGTATTTGACATAGGTCTGGAGCTTGTCCATTTAGTAGGTTGGCTTACAAGCCCCAAGGATGCACCTGTTTTCATGTCCCTGGTGCTGGGATTACAAATGTGCCCCATCACAAACATCTTATTTATTTATTTATTTGAGACAGGGTTCTCTGTGTAATAGTCCTGGGTCCTGGAACTCACTCTGTAGATCAGGCTGGCCTCGCACTCAATACGCAGCTTTTTTATGTGTGTTCTGGAGATTGAACTCAGTTCTTTGTGTTGGCATGGGAATCACATGACTAAATGCCTCCTCGGTTTTTAGAAAGAGTTTTGTGTTTCAATTTATCTTTTTCTGTTCTTTCCCTATTGAAGAACCCAACTTTGCCTAGACCCAAGCCAGCTACAATACAGACCAAAAAAACCAAGTCAAGAGGTAAGGAAGACAGCAAGAAAGGGGCAAGTCCCTGTAGCACGATTAATAAAAACCCAGAGACAGATATTGGGGTTCAACCTGAAGGTCAGAAAAGCAAAACAGATAGCAGCTTGTTCTTACCTCTACCTCAGTCTGAAATGGCGATCCTGCCTCCAGAAATCCTCAGAATAAGTCTGACTGAGAGCTGTCTCCTCCCATCTTATATTCCTCACTAGTTCTGGGATTAAAATTATGAACCACTACTGCCTGGTTTCTGTGGCAAACTAGAGTGGCTACTGGGATTAAAGGTGTGTGTCACCACTGCCTGCCTGACCAGGGCGCCTGTTTTACTCTCTGATCTTCAGGCAACCTTTATTTATTAAAATACATATGAAATATCACTACAAGTCCCACAGGTAGGGAAGGCAGAAGTCAAGAGCAAGTGTTTTCCAGCAGCCATGCTGGTCACCAAGTTTGATTTCTTGGAGAAGGGTGGTTCTGAGGAGAACAATAGTGGGGCAGCAATGTCAAGATGGGTAGAACTGGAAGCCACAGAGGAAGCCTGCTAGACTGGGAGTGGGCCAGAGATGTGAACAAGGCAGAAGCTAAATGCATGGCCACCATCTGCCTTGCCAAGATATCAACACATTTTCTTTATGCTTGGGCCTGGGGCTTATACAGGCCTAGCAGGAGGACGAGATGGGACTCCAAAAGAGAAGACTGTGAAGAAGTCTCCAGGCAATGGACCCACATTGGGAGGAAAAGAAGAACAGGGGAATTCAGACCTGGACCATCCAGGTATGGCTCAGAGACTTGAAGGCTGAGGGGACTAAAGTCCTTGTCTGTATCTCTCCTCCCTGGGTTATTTCTGAGCAGTTCTACAAATCTTCATGTGTTTGTGTTGCAGTAGGAGGATTGTGACGCTGAGACTGGCCTGTGTTATATATGAGTTCGAGATTAGCTTGGGCTACAGAGTGGGACTCTTTTTCAAAAATACCAAAAGAAGAAAGAGGAGGAGGATAAATGAAATTCTGAATGAAAGATTGAACCTAGAACATTCTTTATAAACTTAATTTTGGTCGGTTATAGTATGGAAGGCCTTTAATCCCAGCACTCAAGAGGCAGAGGCAGGCAGCTCTCTGAGTTCCAGGCCATGATGTTCTGCTACACCTTTCAGTGGCATTTTACACGGAACCGTTTGTGTGTATGCATATGTGCACGCCATGGTGCAGATCTCTCCTTTTGGGAGTCAGTTCTATCTTTCTACCATGTAGGTTTCTTTTCTTTCTCTTCTCTTCTCTCCTCTCCTCTCCTCTCCTCTCCTCTCCTCTCCTCTCCTCTCCTCTCCTCTCCTCTCCTCTCCTCTCCTCTCCTCTCCTC